GAAATATGTTTAGAAGAGCATAAACGGACAAGAGTTTCTAGTAACGTTTTCATTTGTTTGTAGTAGAACACACCAGATTCAAAGGGTTTAATTACCTCTTCAACATGTGGCCAAGATCTACAAAGTATTTTTATTTACCTGATAATCTGACCCAGGTTTGTTGAAACAGAGACCTAAATGCAAACATTGTGAATTTTTAGTGCGTTTTGCTGCAAAGTTCTCTAAGAAAGATTGTCATACATAACACTGGGGGTTAATTCGAGCTTCTGTAGATTATTAATAATAATAATAATACATTTTATTTAAAAAGGCGCCTTTCTGGACACTCAAGGTCACCGTACAAAACATAAAAAGTGTCAGAAAAAATAAAAATTATAATTATAAAAACATTTAAAAACATAAATTATTTTATTTATAAATATTTTCACCATGTGTCGCACAATGAATTTAACCTTTCCCACCACTTGTGTCATTTTTCATTTTCTGAAGCTGCTTATTGTAGAATATTCCACCCTGGATGGATCTGATAAATCAATAAAATAATATCCATTGCATAGATCTGGATGATAATATGAATGTTTCTGCACATTTGGAATATTTAACCACACAATGTCTACATGAAAGCATATTTGACGTTTACGTGCTCGTTATAACCTGACCTGTCCATCACGGGTTCACCTTGTCAGTAATTACAGCCGTAAGTGTTTAGGCGTTCATTTACTCCTTTAGGCCTCTTTGTTTACACCGGCAGAGGAAGTAATTAGGGCGTAGGATTCTGTTTAAATATATTTCCCTTGTTACACCCAATGCTTTTAAAAACAATCTTCCTCTGAAGGTTGATTCTATAATATATATTTTGCCCTTAAATTCATACACTAGATTCTTTTTAATATGGTTCACATCATATAGATAAAACTTTGAATCAGAATGACTCAATTTTTCATAATAATGAAAAAATAATTTAAATTTTTATACACAATTTGATTTTGCGTTTGGTACAAATCTTACCTAAACAATAGCTTTAAAATGAAGTTGTTTAAGTTAAGTCATCCACTGTTTTTTGCATGTAAAGTTAAGAACAGAGAGGCTGATATATCTGTCAGGGTTTTTAATAAAAAAAAACAATAAAAAAAAAACAAACTAGGCTATTAGTCAGGAACTATGGTAGGATCTGGAGCTTGGTAAATTTTAAGTGTTAAAGCAGGAATTTAAATTAGGTTTAATCAGAAACCAAACTAACTACTTTGAAAAATGCTAGTGCTAAAGCGTAGCTTGCTACATTGCTAAGTTAAAATAAATAAATAAATTTACAAAAACATGTCTTTATTTGCAACAACAGCTATGTTTCATTTAATAATCAAAGTGCATGAGTTGTATTTGCAAAAATAAAATCACTAAAGGGAAACACTGCAATTTCGAAAAAACTCATATTTTTTCCATAAAATGTTTTTTACATTTTGATGAGGTGGTTTTTCTGTCATATCAAAGCTCTTATATTTTGCAAAACTTCAATGGAAAAAATGTTGTTTGTTTGCATCAGATAAGCTACGTGATCTGCAGCTGCCTTGTAAAAGACGAAGAAGACGAACAGAGGTAGATGGAGGATGATGGCGCCATCTAGAGCCTTGGCTGAAAAATGGATGTATGCCATGAGGCTTAAGTGAAAATTCAACCTTGAAGAATCTTATCACCATCCCCTCAACCAGATGCAATGGCCCTCATTCAGCTTCAGCCAATGGGCATCTAGTTCTCAGACCTCTGGCTTATTCTTACCCCTGTGGAACACTACTCTAATCTTTTTCTAGGTTACTCATCTGATTAAATGTGGATTCTCAGCATCAAAGTATTCTGCCGGGGCCTGAGCGCCAAATAACTTTTTTCATTTATGTCAAAATCTGTACATCTGCTTCTGTCTCCTTGAACCCCACTCAGCCTGTGCAGATGGCCGCTCACACTGAGTCTGGTTCTGCTGGAGGTTTCTTCCTGTTAAAAAGGAGTTTGAGACTTAGACAACTTCTATTGTTATTTTGTATACACAGAGTGTTTATGAAATGAAATTTCATTTTGTACAGCTCTCATGACTTTTCCATTTTTTAAAGTGCAGCGGTGATCAAGCTTAAACTGTGTGGGAGAAAAAAACATGGTGCAAAAAAATGCATTGATATGGAAGTTTAGAGGATTAAATAGATATGGTGAAATTATGCAGTGTTTTAGTTTGGTGTTATCAGTGTGATGCAGAGTCATGATTTAGAGTTTTCCCAACAGTTCAGCAGTCTAATGGTGGTGGGGAAGAAGCTGCTGCAGAATCAGCTGGACCTGCTTCGGATGCTTTGATGTCTCTTCCCAGAGCGCAGCAGGGAGAACAGTCCATGGTGGGGGTGTGAGGGGTGATTTATAATGTTACGGGTACAGGACATGCAGCGCTGGGATGAAATTTCTTAAATGAAGGGAAGAGGGGTGCCAAAGGTATTTTCTCCTGTTCTCACCAATCTCCTCACCTTCTTCCAGTCTGTGGTGCTGGTGGTGGTGAGGATGGGTGGGGGCAGCTGTGCTCCCTTCATCCCCGTAGGTCGCTACAAGCAGTGAGGGTTAGGAATGGAGTGAGGAATCAGTCCTTGCAATCATCTGTTTTTTCCTAGATAGGAAACCTTTTGTGTTACTTTTTTAAATGAAATTAACTAAATAAAACTTCTCTAATTTGCATCTTTTCCCTGTGTGAGTCTCTCTAGGCGGAAATGTGTTTACATGCACCACTGCCATGGTTTCTCACAAGAACAAACACATTCAAGAGCAATTTTTAACTGTAGTTGTAATTCAATGGAAATACCGAAATCGTGAAACTTTGCATTTTCATAATTAGCAGTATATCGATATCGCTTTATGCAAATCTGTAAGGGAAATGCAGCCAGAAATGTTGAGGGTATTTTGTTTAATTGTTGGTACAGGTAAAGAAAACGCTTTAAAAAAGAAAAATTAAAAGCAAAAATAAAAATATAATAGAAATAAATAATAAAAAATAATAAGTAAATAAATTTAAGAAGTTTTACATAAATTTATTTCTGGATGGCATTTTTTCTCCCCTAAATTTCCATTTACAAAACCTGTTTTTTTTTTCTTCTTCTTTACAAATATAATGGAACAAAATGGAATAAAATTATTTCATACCCTTTTTTCAGGGGTGGAGCTAGATGGGTGGCCAGTCAATCCCTGGCCACCCCATGGCCACCCCTACCATTTTACCCCTTCTAATACCGATGGTGGCAGCAGTAATATTCTCAAGTGGAATATTCAAAATATTAAAAATCTTCATACATTACTTAACAATTTTGGTTAATATGGTTATGTACATCAATATACTAACATTAAAGATGATAAATACAGAACTCATGCTCTCTTCAAACATATTTTGTCTTATGGGGTAAAGAAAAAAAGATTTGTGTCTCTGCAAGTCATCTAGGAGTCTTCAGTGAAATCATAGATAACTATTTTAATAAAAACTTAGAAATAATCAATTTATGTATATATTAGTACATGTAAATATCAATTTTATGCAGAATGATTATTGATAAAAGTAGGTAAGTGACGACAATGGAAAAGATGTTCGCCCCAGAACTCAAACCTGAAACAAATTTTATCCACTATACCTTTTATCTAGAAAGCACAGATGTTCAAATATATACGTCTATTTGCAGAGATGGCAAAAGTACTCACTTTCCGTACTTGAGTAAAAGTACAGGTACTTGTGTTAAAAAATACTCTGGTAAAAGTGGAAGTACTGATTGAACTTCTTTACTCAAGTAAAAGTAACAAAGTACAGGCTTGTAAATTTACTTAAAGTATAAAAGTAAAAGTAGAAACCACTTTTTTCATGCCGTTGCCTACATTTTAAATGGATGTCTGCCAATAGGACTAGATCTCCGTTGTGTTCATTTTCAATCATCTCGTCGTCCATGCTACTATGCTAACGCCACCGCCACCAAGCTGCAATGATTTGCCGCCAATGAATACCGCCGAATCTGTCGATTCATCTTGTAGTGGTGCGTCAAATGCAACGTAGATTCCCATCCAATTAGATTGAATTTGGTATTGATGACGTGAAAAATAATAACAGTAACTCCATTGAAATGATTCAAAACTAAAGTAACGAGCCAATTTTTTAAAATGTAAGGAGTAGAAAGTACAGATATTTGTGTAAAAATGTAAGGAGTAGAAGTAAAAAGTCGCCATAAAAATAAGTAGTAAAGTAAAGTAAAAATATCAGAAAAATCTACTTGAGTACAGTAACGAAGTATTTGTACTACGTTACTTCCCATCTCTGTCTATTTGTTTGGAAAGGCTGTAGGGAAGGATATTTTGTCTTTATTTAGAAAAATATGGATATTTTAATTTTCCTGTTGGAACAGTGTAGATTGACCCTGAGGTTCGGCCACCCCTCAGTGGTTATTGCCTGGCCCCCCTTATAAAAGGGTTCTGGCTACGCCTCTGCCTTTTTTCCTAAGGTATAGATTAGTCAGTGTAGAATGACCGACTTTTAATGAACCTCTTTTAAAGATATAGAAGTAAAAAAAAAAAAATCAGATTTGAGCCATTAAATGATTGAAGCTTCCTATCGGATCAAAATGCAAAGCAAACAGTGTTCCCATTCCTCTGGTTCCCATTAACATTCAGGCAGTGTTAATGGGAACAATGGGGACCAGTTCCCTGCATGCTGCAGAGTGTCACCCAGTGACCAGGAGAGGGCATCTCTAGTCCTGGAAACCAAGCAGCAGCTTCCTTATTCCACACGCAGGAGCATCATTCCTGTTGCTATATAACTGATTTATTCTCAGTGTCAGGGCCAACGCGTCTAATCCCCCCCCCCCCCTACAGCCTCACGCAGAATACCGCAACTAGTCACCTCCGGAGCGCAGCTCTGTTCCCCTTAAACTGCTCATCTCCTTCTCTTCCTCACTGTCTCTCTTGCAACTTCGGATCAACAATTGGTGACTGTGTGATTGGAGAGCGTCCCCCTCAGCCTCCCCCAGCCCTGAACACAGTCATTATCATGCCTCCGCAAGCTGGAGCGCCTCCTCTCCCATCCTGCGTTAGGATGCAGGCGGTAAATGTGCGGGACCGAGCGGATGTGCGGTGAAGTGGGGAGGGTTGACGCGCACCTTGAGGGAGCCGCTGTCCTCTCCGACAGGTGATCACCGCAGCTGGGCTCCGACTTCTGCGCAAAGTGCGGTTTTTTCTTTTTCCCGAGCTTGAATGTGCAACTATTTGGGGCCAAACGCAGAGAGCGTCTAACATGTGGAGCTGAAAGGCATCGGGAAGACTTCAGTGAGGATGAGGAAAAGCAGACGTCGTGCAAGTATGGGTATGAGCCACTCTTCTGCTTTCTAAGTGGAGTTTGATTAAAGATGTCAGTGGTGCTGTCCTTCCATCCTGCGGTGTCTGAGTGATGACTGCAGGCTGCAATCTCTATAGGAGCATTTTCCTCTTAAAATGCATGTAAAGAAAAGCTTATCCATTAATAATGTCGTTTTTTTTTAACATTTCTAAACGCACCTCTTGAGAGCACTAATGAGGTTCAGCAGCTGTGGTCTTTGCGTTAATGGGAGAGATCTGCTAATGCACTCAAACCCACTCCCTATTTATTTATTTAATTAAATTTATGATAAATTCTTGTTTTAAGGAACCTGTAATCAATGTCTAATGATTCTGATTGTTTGAGTAAATCTAATAGAGGCATAATTTAAAAACAGAAAGTATTTATGCTATGTTTGTGGTTTAAATAGGGTTTTATTAGAACTATGTTCAAAGAAAGGGTGGAATAATACAGTTCTGGTTGGTATAAATTAAGCATTGTAGATTTTAAATTAAAGGATTTAAATTTCAGTTTATAAAAACTATAACACAGCTTTTCCAAAGCGTAATGGAAATGAAGCAGAATGAAGCAGCTGAATAGTTATTATTGAGCAGCGGCCATATTTTCTTACCGGGCATAACATGAATCAAAGGCAGGAGACCTCCCATTGATTGGAAATAAAAGTAAGCAGTAGAAATGTTTAGGGCTCAAATAACAAAAAAAAAAATAAATAAATTAAAAAATATATATATTTTTTTACTTATCTTGCTTTTGTGCCGCCCCCAGTCACAATGCTATCCTGAGGACAGAGCCACACTGCCCCCAAACATACAAATACAAGTGGTGGGACTTTTATTATACCCTTAGTAGGACTAAGAAAAGATTCAGATTTCAGCCATTTACAAGATTAATACAGAGTTAATTAACTGTAATGTTGAGCTTAAAAAAAAGAAAGAAAAAAAAAGAATAAAATTAAAATGTTCTTGCAAAAAAAAAATAAAAGAAGAAAAACAGACCCAGATAAGTCTCTAAAAAGAGAAGTGCAATTGGAGAATATTTCAGAAACTTTCGATTTGATTTAAACTCATGCAGACAACAAAAAGCAAGACTGAACAAGTGATCCTGGCATCTCATTTTACCAGAGATCACGGGTCTTGGAACAAAATAAAATAAATCTGAAATCTGTCTAAGTCTAAGTCTGAAATCAAATCAAAGATGACCAAATCTTAACACAAAGTCAAACATCCATTGAGATATGCTAAGATATGCTAATGGTGCTTTCTATTTATGGATTTTCTGGGGTCCCCGTCAGAAGAAAATTCAAGTCTACTATCGGACATGTACATTTTTGTTTTAACTGCTCTTGTTTTTTTGGGTTTTTTTGTGTTTTTATGCATTTGTGTGTCGTTATTAACCTCCCTCCCCCTCAACGTTAACACCTTTTAAAAGCCTAACCAGGGACGAAGGCTGCAAATTAGCCCATGGCTACAAGCCTTATGTACTTGGACATCGGCCACCTGTTTGGTTGCAATGTTTAATTGTACTGTCCCTGTCAAATAAACAAATAAATAAAATAAATAAAATTCAAGGACTGAGGATGTGTCCAATATGGCTGCCATGTATGGAAACATGTCAAAAAACATGTCAGAAACTATAAGCTATTAGTTAGTTTCTAATGTAACAAAGTCACACAAGATGTTAGGCAAGATGTTATATCTGTCATTGTTTTTCTGTCTTTAGGTCTCTCTGTGCTTTTCAGTTGGCTTATATTCACAGTGGTGATACCCACCTGGCTGCTCGCAGCTCCAAGCGGCATCCGGGAGCGCCGCTGCCCCTCCAGCTGCAGATGTGATGGGAAAATAATCTACTGCGAATCGAATGCCTTCCGCGACGTGCCAAACAACGTGTCCGTGAGCACGCAGGGCCTCTCCCTCCGCTACAACAGCCTGGTCAACCTCAGGGCCCGCCAGTTCGCAGGCCTCAGTCAGCTGGTTTGGCTCTACCTCGACCATAATTACATCAACTCCGTGGACGGCCAGGCCTTCCACGGGATCCGCAGACTCAAGGAGCTGATTCTCAGCTCCAACAAGATCACGCAGCTGAAGAACAACACGTTCCACGACGTCCCGAATTTACGGAACCTCGACCTTTCCTACAACAAGCTGCAGGTTCTAAAGCCCAACCAGTTCTTGGGTCTGCGGAAGCTGCTCAGTTTGCATTTAAGGTCAAACTCCTTAAAAACAATCCCCATGCGGGTTTTCCTCGACTGTCGCAACCTGGAGTTCCTGGATATCGGCTACAACCGGCTCCGGAGCCTGACGCGTAACGCTTTCGCCGGACTCCTAAAACTCATCGAGCTCCATTTGGAGCACAACCAGTTCTCAAAGATAAACTTTGCCCATTTCCCCCGCCTGACTAACCTGAGGGCCCTCTACCTGCAGTGGAACCGTATCAGACTGCTAACCCAGGGCCTGCCTTGGATGTGGACTTCCTTGCAAAAGCTGGACCTCTCAGGAAACGAGCTGGAAGTGCTGGAAGCTAGCACCTTCCAGTGCCTGCCTAACCTTCAGACTCTGAATCTGGACTCCAACAAGCTCAGCAACGTGTCCCAGCAGACGGCGGAGACGTGGATCTCCCTCACCACCATCAGTCTGGCTGGGAACTTGTGGCACTGTAACCCCAACATATGCCCGCTAATGTCCTGGCTCAAAGCCTTCAAGGGCAACAAGGAGACTACTATGATTTGTGCTAGCCCTAAGGAGGCCCAAGGAGAGAAAGTGACAGATGTGGTGGAGACTTACAACATCTGTACAGCAACTCTGACCCCAATCCCCTCAACGACTTTGCCTCCCACTTCCCCTTTCCAGCCTGAATTCCTGCCTCTTCCCACACAGCTGTGGGTGGATAACGAGCTGACCCGGAATAGGACGGCCTCGCCGCCTCCCTCCGAAGCCTCCCCCACCGTCCCCGTCCCCGACACCGACTACGTGTCCTTCCACAAGATCATCGCCGGCAGTGTGGCTCTTTTCTTATCCGTGGCTATAATTCTGCTGGTGATCTATGTGTCATGGAAGCACTATCCCAGCAGCCTGAAACAGCTCCAGCAGCGCTCGGCGGTCAAGAAACGCCAGAAACAGGCGCGGCAGACAGAGCGCTCCTTTAACTCCCCACTGCAAGAGTACTATGTGGACTACAAGCCCTCCCACTCAGAGACTATGGATATGCTGGTTAATGGGACGGGACCTTACACGTACACCATCTCAGGCTCCAGGGAATGCGAGGTATGACCGTTGCCCTCCAAAAATCCATTTCCAGTGCGAGGCATGCGAGGTAAATTTTCTAACACTCTGTGGGATAAAAAAAAAACCTGTTTTCTCCTCTGCCCCTGTCTGCTTTGGGATAAGGAAAGGAAAGGTCACTCCACAGTGACTTGCTTTTCCAATCTGCTGGTTGTTTCAGTTCCATACGACTACCCTGCTGCTGCCCGTCCCAATCATCTAATGATAAATTCGAAAACATGGCCTTAATTTTTTGGGGAGTAAAGTGCAATGCATTCCACAAACAGCAGGTTTATTCGTCATTACTCGCACAAAGACTCCCCTCGATTAATCTGCGCATTAGCAACCAGCCTTTTTGGAGTAAAAACAATCAATTAGATCAAGTCACTGTGCAGGTGTTCCTCTCTTATCCTGTGTGTTTGATGCAATGGCTGTGGTAACAAATGCACGAGCCGTGTGGGTTGTGATATTTGTTTGCTGTCGTGTAAAATGTGTAATTCTTTATGATCCTACCTGCTGATGAATACATATCTCATTCCCTGTTTCTGCCACTAGCGATTGTGTGTTTAGCATTTTCCTCATTGGTTCCATTTACAAAGTTCAAACAGTCGTTGCGCGCCGAGGAACACCATAACGGCCTGTAGCCAAATGGAAGATAAATTATGCATTTGGGCTCAGTTTCTGTTGGGGTATTACGCGTTACTGCAGTGGGAAACTGCATTATGCTACTTTTGTTTAGGATCATGAACATGAAGAAACAGTTCAAAGACTCACAGCTGTTGGATTTTAAATTCTACTAAACTATTCTGGTTCTTGCCTTAAGCAAAACTATTTCTATGAGGCAAAGGCCAGAATAGTGAGAGAGGTTTTAAAAACTTTTTCTACCTTTACGCAGTTATGGAGATGATGATGTTACAACCTTTTGACAGTTTGGTTCCTTCTGGATTTTATTTATTTTCAGATGCCTGAATCTGTTTATCTGTTCAAAACCAACATTCACAAGCAAAACCATGATTGGACTGACAAGCTGACTCATTAGGAAGGAGTATGGAGTGAAATTTGTATCATTATTTTTGCAAGAAAATATTGTGTTTTCTTAATGGAAAAAAAGTTCAGTCCAGGCATAAAAATGTGAAACATCTTAATGAAAATGTTTATAGAGTAACTGCACAGTTTTTTTTTTTTTTCAGATTTTATTTTTTTATTATATTTTTCTTTCATTTTCATATTGGGTCTTACAAATTGCATTTTTCTGTAAAATGGCCTTTGTCACCATCACATTTTCTTCACTTTAAGCTCAATATAAGTGCTCAATCACGATCACCGTCCATGCAGCTGAGTAGGTGAAAATAACTGTTATCTGTACAATAAAATTTCAAAAGATTGCAATTGATTCAAATCAATCTGAAAAACAAAAATTTTTTAAAAAGCATGTTTTTTAATCTAAAATCTGTAAAAAATAAATAGAAAAACGGAAAAAAAAATATGATCTAAGAAAATAGCAAAGTTTCTCCCAAAACATTTTTTTAGATTGCATTTTTTCTCCATTCATAAAATGCGGTCTTTAATCTGTTTTGCTTGCAATAATAATGGAACAAAAATCACACTATAGTGATTTGTTCAGTGATTTGTTTCGTTTTCCCAGAGGTGAGAGGTCACAGAAAATGCTAGATTATAGCCTGCAAATGGTTTTAGAAATAAAGATTTTCATTAGTATAAAAATATTCTGTTTGGTAGCCTAAAGCGTTTTGATCAAAGACGGCCCTTACATTTGGTATAATAAGGTGAAAACTTTAAACCATAAGAACACCTTCCTTTCTGTGAAGTACGGAGGTGGCAGCATCATATGTTATTTATTTATTTTGCCGGTGAAGGGGCTGGTTTGTTTTGAAATGTTGCAACTAAAGCAGAAATTTTAACGTTGTGCTCAAATAGCTCTTCCGTCGACCTGCACCTTCTGCCAATTTAGTTACAGAGTGGTTTAAGGAAAACAAAGGTATTGCTTTGGAGTGAGCTTTACAACGCTCTAAGCCCTACTGCCTACGGACGCATACAAAACCTGAATCAGTTACACCCCTTCTACCAGGGCACAGCTACATAAAACAAAATCCAGATTATATTCTGGGGTAATTTCCTCAATTTTCAGGCTGTTCAGTTTCAGAAAGCTAGGAACTGTTTCCCTGAGAATAATTATGACAAAAAATTAGTAGCAGGGCTGTTTGGAGAGACCCTGAGTATTTCCTGCTTTTCAGCCGTTGCCATGGTGAATCATGTTATCTGTGTCCCACTGATAAGGGCTTCTTACTGTATATGCCTGCATTCACACTGAACTTTGCTTAGAAGCTGAGTTTAGTTATTGAAATCACTGGTTTCTGAAGCAGAAACCCTGAGTAAAAAAGAGAGGGGTAGAGATAGTCAGGGTGTGTTTGATTTCAGAGGCTGCATCCTCCAAGGACCCGCTCTATCTGGACTGGATCCTTTGAAGTCCATGAAAATAAGGAGACGAAAGAGTTTTGGCTGTGAATTCAAACAGGTCCAACCTTCTGCGGCTTTCACCGCTGTACGCTCTGTCGCTTAGCAACTGTGAGAGACACACAAAGCAGGAAATGAATGAATCGGTCTCCGCCAGTCACGTGACATTTGTTGCTAAGACGCCATTTTAGGCGTAAAAGGCATAGTGTACCGCGCCCGAGGTAAACAATTGACGTCACTTGGCGGAGACGAACCTGAGCTTTTCACTACTGTTTCTTTTAAATTTTTTACCTTTTTTATTGTAAAATGAACAAAGACTACACTCATGAGAATACAGAGTGACAAACACCGGGAGCATGAAAAAATAAAAGCCAATGTAATGATATAAAAGGGGTAGAAAGATATGAGTAAATGTAAACAATGAGTGTATAAAAAATTTATCTGCAAAATCTCTTATCATTAACAACAAAAAGTACCTAGTTAAGCAAATTGTGCAAAATAGCAATTAAAAAATAAAAATCCTATCAGATTTATAGTCCCCACCCAGCAGTTATATTAGAATCTGTCCTTAAATTACGGCCAAACCCATTAATTTGTACTGAACTGTGCTATACAAATAAATTTGCCTTGCCTTGCCTTGCCTTACACAGTAATAGATAAAAACCTTTAGATAAATTAAACATTACCGCCACATATCTGACTCAATAACCATTAAAACAACTATTTTCATTCACTTCAGACGGAACTATTCACATACTGGTTTATATTAAATTACACTTCCAATATTCACCACTGTTCGCTGCCAAGTACCTTTTTCCTCTGATCACGGAGCAGCTGGCTTGCTTGGACTCGCAATGAATCCTGGGATATCCAAGGCTACGTAGGTTACACCGGACCCGTCCTTCAAATAGCGCAAAAAGAAGGATGCATTTTTCGGCCACATAACAAGGAGTCTTGCGTTCTGAACAGACCTCGGCGCCGTGCTATGACGTGACCGACAGACCAATCTGGCCTTCAGAGGATGCAGCCCCTGAATTCGAATTCAGCCATTCTTTCTCAAACGGGGGCCTGGAGGAATGGGCCTAAATTCCAGCAAATAGAAGTCTGCAGAGCTACTGCAGCCTCTAGTTTAGAGTATGTTTGTTATGAACCAACTCTAAAGGAGGTTTGGGTGTGTTCCTGCATTTTTTTAAGGTTATGGTGTTTTCTCTGTTTTTTTAAATGAAGTTTTCTATCTATTGAACAACTTTTAGGCTGCTTGTTTGATTGTGCCAGCTAGGTCGGGGACTTACAGGTAGAGCTAAAAGCTATAACCTTATTCAGGGCATCTTTCTGTTTTCTCGTTAATGTTAATGTTCTCTGCAAATTGTCCCTGTTTTAAATAAATCTGTTGTAAACCATAAAATTTGCATGGTTTTAGCTCTCCACGACTGGAGATGGAGACCCCTGATGCACAGCTTGTTGAAGGACACCCACACTGTTTGACACCATAAAACTGTTGGAAATGATCTTGAAAAAATACAAAGATATACATTTGAACCAAGGTAGTAATAAATAAAGACTTCTCTCTCTTTTTAAGTATTCTGGTATGACTTGATAAAAAATGTATTTAGTTTGATTGATTTATTAGACATGATAAAAAGAGTTAGCTGATTTTATTTTATTTTTTTTATTCATCGTGAAATATGAATGTGCTTATTCTTAATCTGACACATATATGGCCATTTCAACTGAACCCACTGAGCAGAAATTGGTTGATGAGACGTTAAAAAGACAAAATAATTTATGTCAAAAACTTTCTACATCGATTGAAAAGTGAAATGGATGAAATCAGTTCGACAAAACACATCCCAATTTCCAACAAATATTCCTGGACTAAATGAAGACTGATGGACCGACTAGATTTAGCCTAAAAACCAAAGTCGAAATGACGTCTGGTGTTTGGGGGGGAAATGTTTCATATGAGTCTCCTGTTTTTGCCTCCTGCTCTCGAGTTTCGTCTGATTACCAAGACATGCTGTAGAGCAGTGGTTCCCAAAGTGTGGGGCGCGCCCCCTAGGGGGGGCGCAATGCCATT